ACTAAAATTGCCGGTTTTTGTGAAATGTTGCAAACTATAGCACAGTAATCAACATGTATCCTCTGCGCCGATCTCCGCGAGTGGCTACGGGGACGCGTGAGGGCGTATCTTAATGTCTCGAGGCTAACGGGTATGCGGTAGTCCATTTCGGCATGGCGCTTTTCCACAAATATTAATGTGCGTTTCACGCTAGCTATTAATTAATCTGCCAGCCTAATTAATTAATTAATTAATTGTAATTAATTAATTAATAAAATTAGGCTATGCTTACCCTACAGTAAAAACCCGCGTATAAGAACATTGGTTTTTAGAACATGTAGGACTTCCAAATTTCCCATTTAGACGCCGGCTTTAGCATAAGAACCCTTGTTTTAAGGCTAAGATTTTAAAGTGGTTCTCTAATTTTCGCATGTTTTGTTTTTTCCTTTTTGTTTTTTCTCGCTACCATTTTTTGGCATGTTGTTTTTATTTCCTTGATAGCATACTGTATCATAAAGTATGGTAACCACTGGAAAAACTTACACTGTAGCCGCATGCATGGTATTGAATTAGCAGAGACAAAGATTGCAGTCCTCGTGCTAGCAGAAAATGTTTAAGTCGGAGGGCCAGATTGTGAATGCAGTTATAGAGCTTTACTATATTAAAAGTCAGAAACCAATGTAAGAACCATTTAGAAGTGTGTTGAGCGCCTAATTTTTTCAGCTAACGCACAATGTTTATACTACAGAAGCCTATTTGAGGCTCAACTGGAAAAATCGTATGTCTCGTTATACGCGGGTTCTTACCTGCGTAGTTCTGGTTTTTGAGCCAGTGTCAGAAACAAGTTCAGTTCAGGTTGTGTTATTGAAAGGCCAAAAGATATTATAGCACCATGAGAGTCTCTCACATTTACCGTCTGGTGTTTTAGATGCTATCATATACGAGCTCGAGTCGCTTTATATTTGTGTCCTAAGTGGAGATGAGGGATACCGTGTATACCTCCTTGTGTACTTGTTTGTGTGTGTGATGTGATGATGGTACTCGGCAGGCGCGCCGTGGATACTGTAGTGTTGCAACGCACCGTTAATATCTCATTCTGCCGGCACGCGTTGATGCATGTCCATACTACATAGCGTAAACCAACGTTCTCCGAGAATGTCAGGAAAACTTTCGCTAAAACACGTTTGATTAGAGACGATTAACTCCGAATAATGTTCTGCTTAACCCTAAAAGAAACATTCCGCATATACATTCAAGGAGCGCACGTGGCGTAAGCTAAGGGGAATGCACAAGGGGCCATGCCCCCCCGCCCCGCTGTGATTGGCAAACAAAACAAATAATTTTTTTTTCCCTTGCCTTTCCGCGTCTTCATCAGGACTGGCCACAATTCCTGTTACTTTCTGCATCTGCTGAAACGAACATTCTCTAAAATGAGCATTGTCAAGTCTAAACTGTCGTTCTACAATGACGCGCAGCCAGCGCATGTCTCTTCACGGTCCTCATCTCTCCTTTTCGTTGAACCAGCGAGGTGTGAAGACAATAATGTGCTCAACCCGAAATTCCTAAAGAATCGAGCCGCAGCAAGACCTTGACTTTGGATTTTGCAGAATTGTCGGCGGCT